ATTTCTTAAGAGCTTCACACGAAAGAAAGCCCAAGCCTGTTGAAAACCTTTTCCTTGACCCTCCTACTTTCCCTACATATTTCAAACGACCAGAAAGACCTTCTCCCTTCTTCCATACCTATGTTACTTCACCACCAGATCAGGTCAAATACATACCTACAGCTTACAGACCAAAATCTACCAGAACTACCGTTACCTCAACCTCCAAGAAAAAAGGAAAGCCTGCCTGTTTAAGCGCTTCATCCTCGGAATCTCAGGATTTTCCTGAAACACCTCCTCCAAAATTCCAAAATGAAGAAGAAATTCCTGATAAAGGTTTCCAAGCCATGGCAATCACTGGAAATTGTGAATTTCCCTAGAAAAGTTACTCTCTTGCTGAATCATCGGCACAAAAAGAAGACGAGTCCTCCTCGGATGATGAAAAAGACTCCTGTCAAGAAACGTCTAGTGATGAAACACCAAGATCCTTTTCATCAGAATCACAATCTGAAGTAAACTACATCCCAAGACTCTTCATGGCAAATATAAAAGAGGAAGATTCATTTTTTGAAGAATCTCCTGAAGAAACTCTAGTCCATGAAAGGACTAAACCAAATGGTGGTCCTTGGTTCACATTTGATGATATACCGCCTAGTCGTTGGAGAAAGAGACTACTTGAATTCGGAGCATGGCTTGATACCCAAATGATGAAAACAAATGCAGATAGCTATAAGGTCATTGAAGAATTTTGCTGTAGAATGACAGGCACGATGAAGGAATGGTATCACAATCTTGGGGCTTTCAAACAAGATGAGTTACACCGTTTAGAAAGCACAGCCAATATCCTTGGTGTACTCCACCAGGAGTTTATCAGAGATATGGATATGTTTGATAGAAAAAATAGGCAAGAATTCTTTGAGATGAAGTGTTGTTCCCTAAAAACAAAAGACCTCGACAAACACTATCACAGGATGGCACAAAGGTTTTATCTCCTCAATGGGTACAACGATCCCAGTCTCAAGAATACTTATGTATCATCTCTACCACATGAACTCCAGCAAGAAATCCATAGGATGGTAGCAACAGCTAAAAAGGATATTGCAACAATGAGTCTTGGCCAGATCCATCAGGCAACGTTGGAAGCACTTGAAAAGCTTTGTAGCTTTCATCATCAATTTCAAGAAGTTATACAGCAAAAGTCAAAGTTCACCAAGGCCTGCAAAAAACCTTATCTGGAGATTAAGTGTAAAGACAAAAAGTGCAGTTGTGAAACAAAAAAGAAACATCATCATCAAAAATACTCCAAATCTCATAGGAACTTTAAAGGAAAGAAAAAGAAGACCATGAAGTTCTTTAAAAGAAAATCTTTCAGAGGAAAGGGGAAAAACCAGAGATGCTTTATTTGTGGGAAAAAGGGGCACTTTTCCAAGGAATGTCCTAATAATACCCACAAAGCCGCAAAACTGATCAACTCTCTTCAACCTCTAGATGGAGACCTAGAATCTTTGTATTCTGAATAAAGTTCTGCTGATGAAGAAACAATTTTTGCCCTTCAAGACTCTGCGTCTGATGAAGCATCATTTTCTGAATCAGAAGATGACAAATATTTCCCTGTTTACTCCTTCAAAGAGATAGGAAGCTCTCTTCCTACTCCACCACTCCCATGTATTGAAGCTCATGTACTAGCGACAAAGTTTTCCCGTCCGAAGAAAGTTATAGCTTATATGGACACTGGGGCCCAGATTACAATGATGAATCCTAGCATTCTCCCAGCAGAATCATGGGTAACACATGCTGCGTACTTTGTTGCAGCAGATGGGAAAGTCTTCAGGACAGATTTAATGACCAAGGAAAAGATAGGAATCAAATTCTTCCCCGACTGCATAGTTTGGACCAAGGTCATTGGAAGTAATCTTCCAAATAAAGATATTGTAGTAGGGATGGATGTATACTCAGCAGCCAATAGACTCCAGATTCTTCCCACGGGATTAAAATTCAAAAGAGAATTCAAACCTTATTCTGGTATATTGAAGTTATATTCACTATCTAAAATCCCTGCTGGATATGAAGAAATCAAGTCCAACCTACTCAAACTCTATGCAAACAGCCATGAAACATTCTGCCATCCAAAACCTCTATGGAAGAATAAAGACTTTTTTGTTCAACTTCCTTTTAAGCTCAATGAAGATGTTAATCCAACCAAGGCCACTCATCCAGGAATGAGTCCATCAGATTATACATTGGCCAGGGAAGAATGCAACCAGTTGCTCAAACAAGGTCTGATAGAACCCACCAAATCAGAATGGGCTTGCCAAGCATTTTATGTAGAGAAAAGATCTGAAAAGTTAAGAGGAAAAAAGAGGCTAGTAATTGATTATAAACCTCTAAACCATTTCCTCAAGGATGATAAATTTCCTATTCCAAAGGCCTCGTCCTTAAATGTTTTCATCAAAGATGCCCAGATCTATTCCAAGTTCGATCTTAAGTCAGGATTTTGGCAATTGGGTATCGACCCCGAGGACCGTTACAAAACGGCGTTCTGCATTCCTAACGCCCAATACCAATGGACTGTGTTACCATTTGGGCTTAAGGTAGCTCCATCACTTTTTCAAAAGGCCATGACTAGAATTTTTGAGCCCATTCTCAATAGTATCCTCATCTATATTGATGATGTGCTATTATTCTCAAAAGATGAAAAATCCCATAAACAACTATTGGGACAATTCCTTCAAATAGCCCAGCGACATGGGATGATGCTCTCTGAGAAGAAAAGCCAATTGGGCCAAACAGAAATTGACTTTCTAGGAATGCATTTTTCCCAAGGGAAGTATCAACCTCAGCCTCATATTGCTCAAGAATTGCTAAACTTTCCTGATGAAAAGCTCACTGTTAAGCAGATTCAGCAATTTCTTGGTATAATTAATTATATCAGAGATTTCTTGCCAAAATTGGCAAAATACACGAGTCCTCTATCTCAAATGCTGAAGAAAAACCCCCCACCATGGGGAGCAAAGCAAACTGAAGCAGTAAGAGCCTTGAAAAAGATCGCACAAACCCCACCTGCCTTAAAGATCCCGGGAGACGGTAAAAGAATCTTACAGACGGATGCTAGTGATCATTACTGGGGAGCCGTCTTCATAGAAGAGATTGATGGAATAAAGTATTATTGTGGTCATGCTAGTGGTCAGTTCAAAGAAGCTGAAAAACATTACCATACCACTTATAAGGAAGCTCTTGCAGTTAAGATGGGTATCCAAAAGTTTGACTTTCACCTGAGAGGTCATCAGTTTGAAGTCCAGATGGATAATTCCTCTTTCCCTAAGATCCTCGAATTCAAAAATAAGATGCCTCCTGATCCTCAAACTCTTAGGCTCAAAGATTGGTTTTCTAGATATGATTTTATTGTGAAACATATCAAAGGAACTCAAAATGTGATTCCTGATTTACTTTCTAGGCCTATGAAACCCATCCAGATCATTACTACCAAGCACACTTTTCCTTTGATTCTCATGGTCAAACCATTGCCAACCCGTGCCTCCAAGACCAAAGACTTTCCTCCAGGAGTAACTGTATCCTCTTCACCCTCACAGCTTAAGCAGTATGCCAGGAATAATCTTTTTTATTACATGACAAAAATCATAAGAAATAAACTCCCTGACCATACTCCTTATTTCCCAGACACACCATTTCTACTACCAATTTTAATAAACCCTAATGCTAAATTCACAAAAAACCATTTATGGTATATTTGGTGTGCCACTGCTTTATATTTTATGCCTGTCCTCATACCCACTGAAGCCATGTATGAACACATAATGAATCCGAAGAACCACAAATCCCTGATTTGGACTACTCTTGAATGGTACTCTCCGCTAACATGGTGGAGAGATCAATTAAAACCAATCCTAGACGAGGTCAAGGAAAGGGGGTTAACCTCAGAGGCTATTAGCAAATTCAAGACTGTTTTCTTCATGCACAGGCCCTATCAACAGATCCTGCCACTAAGTTACTTGGTTGTAAGAATTATGTTCATATATGGGAAACCATTGATGATTATCCTCCAAATCTAAAAGTCACAAGAGAATTAATGGAATATGTTAACTTCATCAACCTCCATGAACCAGACAAGATGAATGCTAACTCCACTTGTATAAGTCATCAAGCTCAGTATAAAGATCGAGAGGTTGGAGAAAACTCAGTTCAAGCCACACAACAAAAATCAGATTCCCCAATGGAAGTTGAATTCTCAGAAGGACACGTGGAAGAAGTTCATAGAAAAATATCAGACCATGCTTACATGATGGACGACGTGTGGGAAAAAGAGACATCTCGATACGAAGACTGCTTTTCAGAAGAATACTTATCCGATTAGAATATGACTCCAAGTCATGAACCTATCTTTGAAGACTAATTGGACAAGTGTCTCTTATTAATCACAAGCATGTTTATAAATAGTTAAGTTTCGTCCTTTTGTGTAATAGTACTACAAATAATGTATCCATAAGGGATAAGGGTGTCAGACTTTTGAAATAAGGCACTAATGATGCCATGTGTGTGAATAGTGTGGATTTGTCTTTTGTGAATCTCCTTGGCTATAAAAGGAGACCTCTTGTAATATTTCAAGTCAGAAGCAATAAGAAAAAAACCATCTTGTGTGCTTAAGAACAAAATGTTCTAACTCTCTTTTCTTTCTCCCTAAAAGCTTTAGTTATTCTATTCATGTCATAATTCCCCATACAGATGCAAGTATGCTCTACACCTGCCTCAACATGAGGATCTTGTGTATCAGAAAACATCTGACCATCGATCCATACTACGGTCCTCACTATTATGGAATGTCAGTTTTAATTGTTAGTCTATGTTATGCCTATGGTTGGCTATTTAATGACGATACAGTTAAGGCTGGTTTCATAGTATGTGAGGCTCCCGGACAGTGTGGTATCAGAGCCTCGACAGAAAGAAGGGGTGAATATGGCATGAATATAATAAATATAGTAAGTAAGGGGGAAAAATATTTAACCATGGCACTATCACAACAAAACACTCATCCTATTACCACCACCTCTTCCCTATCACTTCCTAAACTCTGTAAAAAGATCGATACCCATAAAATAGAAAACCTTGTTGAGTATTCTTATGTTCCAGAAGATGCTCAAATTTCCGAAACAGTACCTCCCCTTTTAAGCCCTTATAATATCTTCAAAAAACAAAGAACAATTACCAGATCCATCAGAAACCTAATCTCTACCAATCGCCCTCATATGAAAGAATACGTCCAGTCATCTCGACTAGATCAATGTAGTTTGAGAGCAACAAACCAAGAGCAGTATGTGGATTTAGAGATTCCTCAGAGTCTCATAAATCACTGGAAATCTGAAGGATACACAGCTTTACATTTTGGAGCAGTTAGACTCATCCTCTCTCTCCATGGAAGGAAAAATCAGCCTGTCTTCTGCAAAATAGCTCTCCTGGATTCGAGCTATCTCCATTATGAAAATGCTGTCATAGGGACTGTTCTGACCTCACTTCATGCGGGAAGCGTTGTTCTTACTGTTTTTCCAAATTATAATGTAAGCCTCAACGACATCACCCTATCTACAAGACTAAAGGTCCAAGTCCAAATCATTGGATCTGACCAAGTTCCAGAGGCCATGTCTGCTACTCTCCATCACCAAATAATCTATCGCCTACAAAATCATTCGATAGATTTGCCTCTCACGGGATGTTCTTCTGATTCTCTGTTAGTAGTTACTAATAGAGAAGAAGATATACCCTCTATTGTTCAGATTCCAAGAAAGATCACGAGGGAAGAACTAACTCAGTTAATTCCTCTTGAGTGGATAACAAACTATGAAAAAATCCATCAAGATAGAAGACAAATACAATCTCAAGAGGCCACCTTTAGAAGATCTGTTGACAAAACGGTCAAAACAATTTTCAAAAAACCAGATGAAGGACCGAGTTCAATTCCTCCTATTTTCCAGACCATGATGATCCGACCGATTCTCAAAGAAGATTGGTGCCCAATTCATGCTGTAACTAGTAAAGGAGAACCTATCTACACTGACAAGATAAATGGTCATTTTATTTGGGACATAGATCCCAATAAATGTGATCCAGGATGTGAATGTTGGATGCATGATAATGATTATGACAGAGATATTATCCTTCCAAAAAGGAAAAACAACGGGGCGTGCAAACTATCTCCCCCTCCACAAAGAAGATATGATCCCGATAACGGTCCATGGGTAGGTATCCATGATAAAAAGAAACCTCTTCCTATTTATGAGGAAGCTCTCAAGATCCTCAGGAAAGAAAAACCGTTGCCACCAAATGATCCTACTCTGGTTACGTGGTCACCGTCAGACTACTGCAAAGTTTTGGACCCTCCAAAAAATGTGGAGTTAATCCCTTGCTTTATGTACTCAACTACCGCACCAGAATATAGCCAACAATTTCCCGCTCTAGAAATGAAGATGGACCCAATCACTGGTAGAACATCCAAACCCTTCATTCATCCTAATGAAGTACAACCCGATGGAAAACTCAAACCTTTAACTCAGGCTGAAGAAGTTCTAAACTGGCAATCAGAAAACATGATTTCTCAAAATGATATCCTCCAAAATCTCGACAAAAAAGTGGACAAGATTGCTGAGAGAATAGACGAGACAGATGATTATCTCAAGGTTCTATCACAGAAAATGCAGAAGCATTACAGAAGCTTAAAGGCCCAGGTGTCTCAGCTGGATCATGATTTGCGACAGATGTTAGAAGAGAGAACTTTTGGCAAAAATTTTGACCAAAAGGAAAGAGAAATCAGAAACCTACAAGGCCAAGTAAAAGAAATAGATGATTTCTTAAGAGCTTCACACGAAAGAAAGCCCAAGCCTGTTGAAAACCTTTTCCTTGACCCTCCTACTTTCCCTACATATTTCAAACGACCAGAAAGACCTTCTCCCTTCTTCCCTACCTATGTTACTTCACCACCAGATCAGGTCAAATACATACCTACAGCTTACAGACCAAAATCTACCAGAACTACCGTTACCTCAACCTCCAAGAAAAAAGGAAAGCCTGCCTGTTTAAGCGCTTCATCCTCAGAATCTCAGGATTTTCCTGAAACACCTCCTCCAAAATTCCAAAAAGAAGAAGAAATTCCTGATAAAGGTTTCCAAGCCATGGCAATCACTGGAAATTGTGAATTTCCCCAGAAAAGTTACTCTCTTGCTGAATCATCGGCACAAAAAGAAGACGAGTCCTCCTCGGATGATGAAAAAGACTCCTGTCAAGAAACGTCTAGTGATGAAACACCAAGATCCTTTTCATCAGAATCACAATCTGAAGTAAACTACATCCCAAGACTCTTCATGGCAAATATAAAAGAGGAAGATTCATTTTTTGAAGAATCTCCTGAAGAAACTCTAGTCCCTGAAAGGACTAAACCAAATGGTGGTCCTTGGTTCACATTTGATGATATACCGCCTAGTCGTTGGAGAAAGAGACTACTTGAATTCGGAGCATGGCTTGATACCCAAATGATGAAAACAAATGCAGATAGCTATAAGGTCATTGAAGAATTTTGCTGTAGAATGACAGGCACAATGAAGGAATGGTATCACAATCTTGGGGCTTTCAAACAAGATGAGTTACACCGTTTAGAAAGCACAGCCAATATCCTTGGTGTACTCCACCAGGATTTTATCGGAGATATGGATATGTTTGATAGAAAAAATAGGCAAGAATTCTTTGAGATGAAGTGTTGTTCCCTAAAAACAAAAGACCTCGACAAACACTATCACAGGATGGCACAAAGGTTTTATCTCCTCAATGGGTAAAACGATCCCAGTCTCAAGAATACTTATGTATCATCTCTACCACATGAACTCCAGCAAGAAATCCATAGGATGGTAGCAACAGCTAAAAAGGATATTGCAACAATGAGTCTTGGCCAGATTCATCAGGCGACGTTGGAAGCACTTGAAAAGCTTTGTAGCTTTCATCATCAATTTCAAGAAGTTATACAGCAAAAGTCAAAGTTCACCAAGGCCTGCAAAAAACCTTATCTGGAGATTAAGTGTAAAGACAAAAAGTGCAGTTGTGAAACAAAAAAGAAACATCATCATCAAAAATACTCCAAATATCATAGGAACTTTAAAGGAAAGAAAAAGAAGACCATGAAGTTCTTTAAAAGAAAATCTTTCAGAGGAAAGGGGAAAAACCGGAGATGCTTTATTTGTGGGAAAAAGGGGCACTTTTCCAAGGAATGTCCTAATAATACCCACAAAGCCGCAAAACTGATCAACTCTCTTCAACCTCTAGATGGAGACCTAGAATCTTTGTATTCTGAACAAAGTTCTGCTGATGAAGAAACAATTTTTGCCCTTCAAGACTCTGCGTCTGATGAAGCATCATTTTCTGAATCAGAAGATGACAAATATTTCCCTGTTTACTCCTTCAAAGAGATAGGAAGCTCTCTTCCTACTCCACCACTCCCATGTATTGAAGCTCATGTACTAGCGACAAAGTTTTCCCGTCCGAAGAAAGTTATAGCTTATATGGACACTGGGGCACAGATTACAATGATGAATCCTAGCATTCTCCCAGCAGAATCATGGGTAACACATGCTGCGTACTTTGTTGCAGCAGATGGGAAAGTCTTCAGGACAGATTTAATGACCAAGGAAAAGATAGGAATCAAATTCTTCCCCGACTGCATAGTTTGGACCAAGGTCATTGGAAGTAATCTTCCAAATAAAGATATTGTAGTAGGGATGGATGTATACTCAGCAGCCAATAGACTCCAGATTCTTCCCACGGGATTAAAATTCAAAAGAGAATTCAAACCTTATTCTGGTATATTGAAGTTATATTCACTATCTAAAATCCCTGCTGGATATGAAGAAATCAAGTCCAACCTACTCAAACTCTGTGCAAACAACCATGAAACATTCTGCCATCCAAAACCTCTATGGAAGAATAAAGACTTTTTTGTTCAACTTCCTTTTAAGCTCAATGAAGATGTTAATCCAACCAAGGCCACTCATCCAGGAATGAGTCCATCAGATTATACATTGGCCAGGGAAGAATGCAACCAGTTGCTCAAACAAGGTCTGATAGAACCCACCAAATCAGAATGGGCTTGCCAAGCATTTTATGTAGAGAAAAGATCTGAAAAGTTAAGAGGAAAAAAGAGGCTAGTAATTGATTATAAACCTCTAAACCATTTCCTCAAGGATGATAAATTTCCTATTCCAAAGGCCTCGTCCTTAAATGTTTTCATCAAAGATGCCCAGATCTATTCCAAGTTCGATCTTAAGTCAGGATTTTGGCAATTGGGTATCGACCCCGAGGACCGTTACAAAACGGCGTTCTGCATTCCTAACGCCCAATACCAATGGACTGTGTTACCATTTGGGCTTAAGGTAGCTCCATCACTTTTTCAAAAGGCCATGACTAGAATTTTTGAGCCCATTCTCAATAGTATCCTCATCTATATTGATGATGTGCTATTATTCTCAAAAGATGAAAAATCCCATAAACAACTATTGGGACAATTCCTTCAAATAGCCCAGCGACATGGGATGATGCTCTCTGAGAAGAAAAGCCAATTGGGCCAAACAGAAATTGACTTTCTAGGAATGCATTTTTCCCAAGGGAAGTATCAACCTCAGCCTCATATTGCTCAAGAATTGCTAAACTTTCCTGATGAAAAGCTCACTGTTAAGCAGATTCAGCAATTTCTTGGTATAATTAATTATATCAGAGATTTCTTGCCAAAACTGGCAAAATACACGAGTCCTCTATCTCAAATGCTGAAGAAAAACCCCCACCATGGGGAGCAAAGCAAACTGAAGCAGTAAGAGCCTTGAAAAAGATCGCACAAACCCCACCTGCCTTAAAGATCCCGGGAGACGGTAAAAGAATCTTACAGACGGATGCTAGTGATCATTACTGGGGAGCCGTCTTCATAGAAGAGATTGATGGAATAAAGTATTATTGTGGTCATGCTAGTGGTCAGTTCAAAGAAGCTGAAAAACATTACCATACCACTTATAAGGAAGCTCTTGCAGTTAAGATGGGTATCCAAAAGTTTGACTTTCACCTGAGAGGTCATCAGTTTGAAGTCCAGATGGATAATTCCTCTTTCCCTAAGATCCTTGAATTCAAAAATAAGATGCCTCCTGATCCTCAAACTCTTAGGCTCAAAGATTGGTTTTCTAGATATGATTTTATTGTGAAACATATCAAAGGAACTCAAAATGTGATTCCTGATTTACTTTCTAGGCCTATGAAACCCATCCAGATCATTACTACCAAGCACACTTTTCCTTTGATTCTCATGGTCAAACCATTGCCAACCCGTGCCTCCAAGACCAAAGACTTTCCTCCAGGAGTAAATGTATCCTCTTCACCCTCACAGCTTAAGCAGTATGCCAGGAATAATCTTTTTTATTACATGACAAAAATCATAAGAAATAAACTCCCTGACCATACTCCTTATTTCCCAGACACACCATTTCTACTACCAATTTTAATAAACCCTAATGCTAAATTCACAAAAAACCATTTATGGTATATTTGGTGTGCCACTGCTTTATATTTTATGCCTGTCCTCATACCCACTGAAGCCATGTATGAACACATAATGGATCCGAAGAACCACAAATCCCTGATTTGGACTACTCTTGAATGGTACTCTCCGCTAACATGGTGGAGAGATCAATTAAAACCAATCCTAGACGAGGTCAAGGAAAGGGGGTTAACATCAGAGGCTATTAGCAAATTCAAGACTGTTTTCTTCATGCACAGGCCCTATCAACAGATCCTGCCACTAAGTTACTTGGTTGTAAGAATTATGTTCATATATGGGAAACCATTGATGATTATCCTCCAAATCTAAAAGTCACAAGAGAATTAATGGAATATGTTAACTTCATCAACCTCCATGAACCAGACAAGATGAATGCTAACTCCACTTGTATAAGTCATCAAGCTCAGTATAAAGATCGAGAGGTTGGAGAAAGCTCAGTTCAAGCCACACAACAAAAATCAGATTCCCCAATGGAAGTTGAATTCTCAGAAGGACACGTGGAAGAAGTTCATAGAAAAATATCAGACCATGCTTACATGATGGACGACGTGTGGGAAAAAGAGACATCTCGGTACGGAGACTGCTTTTCAGAAGAATACTTATCCGATTAGAATATGACTCCAAGTCATGAACCTATCTTTGAAGACTAATTGGACAAGTGTCTCTTATTAATCACAAGCATGTTTATAAATAGTTAAGTTTCGTCCTTTTGTGTAATAGTACTACAAATAATGTATCCATAAGGGATAAGGGTGTCGGACTTTTGAAATAAGGCACTAATGATGCCATGTGTGTGAATAGTGTGGATTTGTCTTTTGTGAATCTCCTTGGCTATAAAAGGAGACCTCTTGTAATATTTCAAGTCAGAAGCAATAAGAAAAAAACCATCTTGTGTGCTTAAGAACAAAATGTTCTAACTCTCTTTTCTTTCTCCCTAAAAGCTTTAGTTATTCTATTCATGTCATAATTCCCCATACAGATGCAAGTATGCTCTACACCTGCCTCAACATGAGGATCTTGTGTATCAGAAAACATCTGACCATCGATCCATACTACGGTCCTCACTATTATGGAATGTCAGTTTTAATTGTTAGTCTATGTTATGCCTATGGTTGGCTATTTAATGACGATACAGTTAAGGCTGGTTTCATAGTATGTGAGGCTCCCGGACAGTGTGGTATCAGAGCCTCGACAGAAAGAAGGGGTGAATATGGCATGAATATAATAAATATAGTAATAAAATATGATACAAAAATCTTAGAAATAGATCATTTAATTTATAAATAAAAAATTATATAAAAAAAACTACTTTTAAAGATATAAATACATAAACTATATTTTCTAAGATTCTAACTTCTAAGCATATCTTGAATTATTTTTCTCCTCCGTTGTATTTAAAAACAAATAGAATAGATAATATATAAAATTAAAATTAAAATAAAATATGGCACATTTTAACATTATACTTTAATTTTTTATTAAATGAAATGAAAGATTTATCATAAAATGTTTAGTAGTGATAATGAAGCATTTTGCATTTAGTTTCTTTTAAATTAGTTGAAAACCTAAAAAAAAAATGGTTTTTAAAAAAAACACTAACAAAGGAAAGCCTGGTAAAAAAAACTGTATCTAAAAACCACTATTAAATGCTTGTTTTATTTTTATATTTTCTCTTTGTTAGCACCTTATTATAGACCTTTTAGGAAAAACGGTATTATAGGATCACCCTATATTAATGTAAAAAAAAAATTATAAAACAGTACTATTAAATTAGTGTTATTATAGATAAAAATTACTGCGGTGATGACATTGTTGACTGGAAATCTATAAGTCTCATATTGATGTTAGTTTTTTTGGTGATAAAATTATGTCTTTATTTCCAACAAAAAAAAGTTATTGCGGTGATTATGTATAGAATAAATCATGTCATTACCAAATTAAATATGCATTATTTCTTATGCAATAGTTTTCTCAACAAAATTATTGATCTTACAATTCTTTGCATAAACGCCTTCACATCCATGACGAAGTATTTTAATCAAATAATTTTAGTAAATTGTTCTTTTACTATCTTGAAATATTAAAAAGTAATAAAAAATTAAGAGTAATGAAATGGTTGAAAAGACAAATCTCTCTTTAATCTCTAAAGGTCAAATATATATATATATATATATATATATATATATATATATATATATATATATATATATATATATATATATATATATATATATATATATATAT